TGCAGGAGGCGGCCAATCAATGTTCTTGCTCGTCAGTGTTTCTATCTCTCTCTCCCTTTCACTTCCTCTTTCTCTAAAATCAATAAAGGAAAAAAAATAAAAAATAAAATAGATGGGATCCAATCCTACACTTACACAACTTGGCCTCACCCTAATTCCAGCCTGTCACACCCTGATCTCACTGGGGCTACTTCTCTCTCCTCGGTTGTTCCTTCAAGGTCAGGAGGGCTACCAAACTTCTAGGTCAAATAATGCTGCATTGTTACATTTACAAGAAGAGAACTCTTTTAGTTTGCAAATATGATCTCTTCTAGAATATGTTCCTAATGCCAATTTTATTACATACATTATGCATTCAAAGAAAATATATCTTTACAATATGGAAAAGATATGGAAAAGTAATGTTACTCTTGTAAATATATCTGTGCATGCAGTGCATCTCTACCATCTACTAAAGCTGTTCCCCTAGACACACACACATGCACATATACACATGCTCAAATGCACACATAGATGCAAACACACACATAGACAAACATTCTGGGTGCAGCTGTGAAATTCAAAAGTTGTTTGAGGTATTACCATTTAAATATACTGATAAATTTCTATTGATTTTTCATGGTTATGCTGATAAACTGAAAGTAATGCTCTTTTCAAGGTATTCCAGATCAATCCGTGAAATATATAAGTATTAATCCTTGGGAGATGCCTTTAAATTCTACACTTTATCAATAAAGTATTTGTAAAGTAAGTTAGGAAAGCAGTAGTGGACACTGACACATTGTGGTCTCTAGGTCTGTTTCAAAACATGCATTTCCTTATATTGAAAAGGTTGTTAGGAATTTCTGACCCTCCCACCAGGCATGTTCTACCAAAACATGCAGATTCCTGACATGCTTATGAAGATTTTCAGGGCTCATATTTAGTCAATTTATTTTACTAAGTAAAATTTCTGACCTTGCTCTTTTTGTCTGAGAGGAAAACCAGTGTTCTGAATTGCTGTGTAAACATAGTAGTTGTCTTGTAAGGATACCACTAATTCAGGTTTAAACATATAACTGGCATTTATCAGCTTACCTTCTTGTTCTATTCTCCAAACTCATTTTTTGGGGCAGCTACCCTCCAGGAGTATTTCTTTGAAAGTTCAATTGTCTGTGTATGTTTGTATTAGCCAAATTGCATGAAGATATGAATTCGGCCACAGTAGTTCAATACTTTCCATGGATAATACCTAAAGGAAAGCAAAACTACCTTTCTGACAAGCATCTCAAATATCTTAAATAGATAACCTGAGATCTAGTCAGACAATTGTGCAAATCAGCCTTACTCATGAGGAGAGATGTGTCAGTTTGGAACACATTTGTCTGTGATCAACAGAAAACCCAATTAATCACATAGGGGTTTATTTATATTATGTAGCCTGGGAGAAGGCAGTGTAGAGTTGTTGCAGCAGCTTAACCATGATAAGAAATCCAGGGGCTTTTCATAGTATCATAGTTAGTACATAGACTTTTTATGACACTTTGATTATGTTTTATGACACAGTTGCAAGTTGACTACTTGAGCTCAATACCCATGCTAGTTAAGAAAAAAGAAAATGGGTAAAGACCTAAGGAACATGCCACCTCAGACTACTCCTTTCAAAAATATTTCTCTTGCCCTGTCCAGTGTGGCTCAACAGTTAGAGTGTCGGCCTGTGGTCCAGAGAGACCTGGGTTCGGTTTCCGCTAAGGGCACATACCTCGGTTGCAGTTTGTCCCCGGTCCTGGTTGGGTCATGTGGGTGGCAACCACTCGATGTGTCCCTTTCACATCGATGTTTCTCTCTTTCTCTTCCTCTCTCTCCCTCCCACTCTATCTGAACAAAAAATGGAAAAAATGTCCTCGGGTGAGGATAAAAAAAATAATAAAAAATAAAATATTTATCTTAAGCCCAATCCCTTAATGATACTTTTAAATTGTTAGCAATAATTGAGTTATATGGTAAGGGATTATGGGAACATGAATATTTTGGTCTCGGAAGGCAAAGAAAAATGGCCTTGAAAATGGGTTTTTTAGTAGACATATGTATTCATTTCCTATTGCTGCTGTGACAAATTACCACAAACTTAGTGGCTTAAAAACAAATTTATTTGACAGTTCTAGAGATCAACAGTTAAACTGGGCTAAAGTTAAGGTAGGAATGCATTCCTTTTTGGAAGCTCTAAGTAAAAATATATTCTCTTGCCTTTTCTAGCTTCTAGAAGCTATCTTCATTCTTTCACTTGTGGCTTCCTTTGGTCTTCAAAATTAGTAATGGCTAGTTCAGTCTTTTCACGCAGTATCACTCTGATACTGACTCTTCTTCTGCTTCCTCCTTTCATTTCTTATTAAAAACTCTTGTAATTATACTGGAACCACCTGGACAATCTAGGTCAGTGGTTTTCAACCTGTGGGTCGTGACCCCTTTGGGGGTCAAATGACCCTTTCACAGGGGTCGCCTAAGACATAACAGTAGCAAAATTACAGTTATGAAGTAGCAAAGAAAATGATTTTATGGTTGGGGGTCACCACACATGAGGAACTGCATTAAAGGGTCACGGCATTAGGAAGGTGGAGAACCACTGATCTAGGTGGTTTTTTTAAAGAAAGACCAACTGAGTATCAACCTTAGTTCCCCTTTGCACATAGCATTTTTGGCTTTCTCTCCAAAATATGCTTTCCTGATAATGTATCACCTAATTTTAGCATCATTTACAATTTGAATAGATTGCAAATTTCCCAAATCATTAAATTCTGGTTCCTTTTTGCTTAACAGTCTTTCCCTCAATCTATCTCATTCTGCTCACATTTTGTGAAAAGGAGCAAGAATAAACCAGGTTGCAACTTCAACTTTAACCTGGAAATCTTCTCCGCTAGGTATCCAAGTTCATTGTTCACAAGTCCTTCTTTCTATATTTCCACTGCAGGATACAATTCAGCTAAGTTTTGTGACACTACGTAACAAGGATTTCCTTTGCTCCAGTTTCCACTATCATTTTCCTAATTTCTTTTCTGTGTAAAGTCACCCGTAGTGACTTGAACAACCATATTTCTACCAACAGTATCTTTACAATGATTTAGGTATTCTGTAAGGCAATATATGTTTTCTCCACCATGCTCCTTACTTTCTTCTGAGTCTTTGCTATCAGTGTTGTTAACATCCGTATTTCAACTCACAGTCTGTCCAAAACAATCTAGGCTTTTTTTTTTTTTTTTTTTATCATGCTCTTTAAAATCCTTCCAGCCTCTGCTAATGCTCAATTCCAAAGCAACTTCTACATTTTTAGTTATTTGTTACAGCAGCACTCCACTTCCAGGTATCAACTCTGTATCAGTCAGGGTTCAACCAGAGAAACAGAACCAGCAGGAGACATACATATTAAGAGATTTATTGCAGGAAAGTGATTTATTCCATTGAGGGAGCTGGCTAGGCAAGTGTAAAATCTGAGGGGCAGGCCATTAGAAAGGGCAGGCTGCAACTCTGGACACAAGTGGAAACTGCTGCCCATAGTCATAATTCTTCTTCATCTCAGGGAAGACAGCTCTGGTTTAAGGCTTTTCAATAGATTGAATCAGGTCCACCCAGATCATTTAGGATATTCTCGCCATTTTAAGGTTAGCTGATTAGCAACCCTAATTCCATTTGAATATTAAGCCCCTTTTGCAATATAACATAACATATTCACAGGTTCCAGGGAATAAGATGTGGATATCTTAAGGGGGCTATTATTTTGCCCACCACACCATCCTGTAATATCTGTAAAGTTAAGAGTCTCCTGGAGATAGAGAAGTCCTGACAATGGAGCTGATTATTTCTTCAAACCATTCATCACCATCATTAACATATTCTTTCATAAGTTTTCTTTAATTAATATTAATTCTACAATGTATTTTTTCAGGTTCCTTATCAACCAGAACAATATCATCATCCCAAGGCAAGTAGATAGGTATTAGCATGCTATCCCATAAAAAGCTCCTCTAGGCCCAGACTTTGGAGCTCACTTGAGAATTTCTCTGCAATAGCAAGAGACAATTTCAGGTAATGCATTACTTGGTCCTGGAGTCTACTGATCTTGAGAGTTTATAGGAACAAGTTAAACACAGTTAATCTGGTATCAGTAAAACTGTCCAGGACTCTTACCAGGATCTTATAACTTCAGTTAAATATAAGGAAGAATCCATTAGTTTTTTCAACATTAGATGAGAAAGATATATTTTCATGAGATAATATGTATGTTACAGTGAAAGTCTAATAATTACAAATGTGATTTTGATATAAACATCATGAAATTATACGTTATTGCCTGTTGATAAAACAAACAGAAACACCCACAGGGTTTGAAAGAAACTGGACATGGATGAATACAAATCGATTCCACCCCGAACAGAAAATGGGTTATTAAAAAAGGCATAGCTGTGTAAATAATAAAAACTAAAAAAATCCTCTGATAATTTAAAAATGAAGTAGACGGAAAGAAATCAGATAGTCATATATAGTGTCATATAATGAGATGAGTACTTTTAAAATTAGAATTATGTTTATTCTGAGAGGTTAACTTTCATATTATCCTTTAGAAATGAGTACTAAAATTGTAATCAGAAATATGAAATGTCCTGATACTTTTTATTAAAAAATCTTCACAGGAGGATATTTTTTCATTTGTCATCAGATAGAGTAGTAGGGAGAAAGAGAGAGGGAGAGAGACCGTTTGCCTCCCTAACCCAGCAGGGTCAGGAGATGAACCGATTGGTCCTAGGGCCTGTGCTCAAACCACTGAGCAAAACCGGCCAGGGCACTTTTTTTTTTTTTTTTTACTAATAATACAAGAATTGGAAAAATAATTTTAGGACAAGAGTAACTACTAAGAAAAACAGTAGGAAGAAAAAAAAAGAAAAACAAATAGAATTACAGGCTACTGCTGGATTTAAAAAGGAAAGAAAGGTAAAGGGGACAACACTAATGCTGTCAGTGGGGAAGTTTCAGATACCCAAACTATTATGGGATGTTGGATTTCCCTCTGACTTCCTCCCAATGTCCTGGCCTAGAATATTGGGCAAGATAGGTTTCAAGAATTTGAACTCATTACTCCCAGAGTCTCCCGTCAGACACACCTCATACTGGTAGCTCTGGGACAGGGTCCCTGTGCCGCTGATGTCCACCAGGTGGCCGGGAAAGTGGCCCTCAGGCACCGAGCAGCCACCCACCAAGCCGGCCCTGCTCCGCCTGCACAGCCGCACCGCCACGAACGCCAGCACCGAGAAGAGGAAGAGCGACGACACCGACGCCAACGCGATGACCAGGTAGACGGTGAGCGGGTCGGCCTGGGCCGGGTCGGCCGCCGCTTCGGGCAGCGGCAGGTAGGGCTGCGAGAAGCCGTCCACCAGCAGCACGTGCAGCGTGACGCTGGCCGACAGCGGCGGCTCGCCATTGTCCTTGACCAGCACCACCAGCCTGTGCCTGGCCGCGTCGCGCTCGCTCAGCAGCCGGGCCGTGCGCACCTCGCCGTTGTGCGCCCACACGCCGAACAGCCCGGGCTCCGTGGCCTTGAGCAGCTGGTACGACAGCCAGGCGTTCTGGCCCGAGTCCGCGTCCACCGCCACCACCTTGCTCACCAGGTAGCCCGGCTCGGCCGCCCTGGGCACCAGCTCGGTGCAGGGCGCAGAGCCATTCTGCAGCGGGTACAGCACGAAGGGCGAGTTGTCGTTGGCGTCCAGCACCTGCACGCGCACCAGCGCCTGGCTGCTCAGCGCGGGCGACCCGCGGTCCGTGGCGCCCACGCGGAACTCGAACGCCTGCAGGGCCTCGAAATCCAGCGCCCTCAGGGCGAACAGGTGGCCGTTGTCCGCGTTGATGGACACCAGCGAGGCCAGGGGCAGGTGCGGGTCCTGGGGCGGCAGCAGCGAGTAGGTGACCTGGGCGTTGGCTCCCGCATCTCTGTCTGTGGCGCTGACGCTGCCTATGTGCAGGGCGGGGCTGTTGTTCTCGCGGATGAACAGGGTGTAAGAGGTTTGGGTGAAGGCAGGGGCGTTGTCATTGACGTCAGAGACCAATACAGTTATGTTGCACTGGGTTTTCAGCCTGGGTGTCCCCAAGTCGGTAACTGTAATAGTGACATTATACACGGCTCTGGTCTCTCTGTCCAGAGCCCCATTTGTTACCAGGGTGTAGAAATTCTCTTCAGTTGGTCTCAGGAGGAAGGGGAGATCATCTTGGATGGAGCAAGCCATCATTCCGTTGTTCCCTGAGTCTCGGTCTCGAATCTGAAACAGAGCCACTTCTGTCTCGGGTGAATTTTCAGGAATGGGGCTGGTAAGTGATGAAATAGTTAGTTCTGGGGAGTTATCGTTAACATCCACCACCTCAATGGAGACAGAGCATTTTCCAGAAAGTCCCCCACCATCAGAGGCATCTATATCCAGCTCATATGAGGATATTGTCTCAAAATCTAGTTTTTTGATTAGTCGAACTTCTCCTGAAAGGCTATTTACTTCAAAAGTTGTGCTTATCTCCTGAGAACTATAAGAAAGGGAGTATGATATCTCTCCATTTGTTCCAGTGTCTAAATCTCTAGCAGAAACCTTGACAACTAGGGAACCTACAGGGCTGTTCTCTGAGACCTGCACTTGGTACAGCGTCTGTGCAAAGTCGGGAGCATTGTCATTGATGTCCAAGACCAAGATGTGGACCTGGGCGGAACCAGACAGGGGTGGAGAGCCGCCATCCAGTGCTGTGAGGGTTAATCTAAGCTGGGCCTGCTCCTCACGATCCAGCTCTTTGTCCAGCACCAGCTCTGGGTATTTCCTGCCGTCACCCCGGTTGCGGATGGAAACATGGAAATGAGAGTTGGGACTGATGCTGTAGTTTTGGATGTTGTTGTTACCCACGTCCAAATCCTGGGCTCTTTTCAGAGGAAACACGGTCCCAGGAGGGCTATTTTCTGGGATTTTCAGCGTCATTTCTGTTTCAGAAAACTCAGGAGAATGATCATTTATGTCTCTCACCAGTAGCTCAGCTCGAAATACTCCCAATGGTTTTTTCAGTAACACTTGAAAATGCATTAAACATGGTTCGGTTGGACCACACATCTCCTCCCGGTCCAGTTTCTCATTTAATATCAAGTCACCGGTCTGCAGATCCAGCTGCAATCGGGATTCATTATCCTCAGTGACCAGCCGGGCTCCCCGTGCAACTAGCTCTCCCGCTCCCAGCCCTAGGTCCGTCGCTATGTTGGCCACAAATGAGCCACTCTCTGTTTCCTCCATCACGGAATAGCGACGGGATTCCCAGCCTGCCAGAGCCACTTCCACCAAAAGAAAGAGAATCAGAACTTGCCTTTGTTTAGGAAAGCGCTCCCCTCTGGCCTCCATCTTTATTCCACAAACACCTTTCCAGGAACCGGGCCAGCTCTAACCTTAGGGAGCAATGGGACTGAGACAGGGCTGGATCGCTTAGTTGGTAACCTGTCCGGAAATGTCGGTGAGCTGCATTCTCTGGAGACTGACTTACTGGTCCTCAGCTCCCTTACTGGCTTTTCTCCTCCGCTAGAGATCTGAGGTTGAGTGAGTTGAATTTCCTGGGCTTTTTTTAAAGCCTTAGCCTGCAGCGCCACCATGCGTTGTTTTAGAAAAAGAATTGCTACAATTGTATTCTTTCTTTTTATGTACCAGTAATAATCTAGTAATCCCAATAACCTATCTATCTAGTAATACCAGTAATCTATTGGGAGTTTGGAAATGTTTTTGGGACATGATGTAATCAGAAAACCATGCAATTATAATTATTTATTCCTTCATTCAAAGATGTATTATTGATATCTATGTGTACTAGGTTCTGAAATGCATTACTAAACAACCCAGACATGGTTTCTATCTTCTAGAACCTATAGTCTAGGTGGAGCGTTCTGAGAAGAACTGAGAAGTGAAAGAAGACTAAATAGTAATCAGTTGTCTTGTAAAAATAGGAGTAAAGCTATGTGATTTCTTAAAATTCTCTCAGCGAAAAAGGATGAATTCCTCTAGATTTTCTTTCAAATTCTAGGCAGCCTATGCGCCACAATTATGGTTCTCATTGATTAAATCAGATAGAGGAAAAAGCTACTTTGTTACACTTAATTGCATTTTGCATATCCTTCCTACATAAAGTCAGAGAATTATGATTTTATGAAACTTTTAAACTATGGGAAAATGCATATGAGGGAATTCTATAGCTCTCTGCCTGTTTCATCTTCTTTTGCATTGATCACCATCTGATATAACATATATGTACATGTTTACTTCTTTTCTGTGTCATACTTGAGTTTCAGAACTTTGTTTTGCTTACTTCAGTATCCCTCAACAGCTAGTCGCTGGCACATGGCATATGCTCAGCAAATATTTGTTGAATAGATCAATGAATAAATCACAATTTAAAATTTTTGACAGATGTAAAAGCTCACTTTTTTGTTGGAATCTTAATTTATTATTTGAGACAGCATGTTCCCAAATAGTTATGCTCTTTTGGTTTTTGTTTGTTTGTGGTACATGCCCTTAGCAGGAACCGAACCCGGGTCTCTCTGGTCCAAAGGCCGATGCTCAACCGCTGAGCCAAACTGGCCAGGGCAGTTGTGCTCTTTTGAATAGTAATTTAAAATAATTCAAAATGATCTAAAATATTTTTCATTACATGGAAAAATACCCTGGCTCACCCGTAAACAAAAGGATACATTATAAAAAAGAAAAAAAAAACATAACAACCGGGCTATAATGATTCTATAAATAAGGTATTCATTTATTTAAAACATATTTTACATTGTCTGTGTTATTTCACCCTAATGATATTAGGACACTAATGATATTAAAATTTTTCTTATATAGAATTTTCTAAGAATTTTTCCTAAATACTCCATAAACTGTACAATTTGGAAATATCCATCTGTTCTCAAAATTGTGTAGTCTAACACAAGTTTGTGCTTTTCCCTTACAGACTACTAATATTCCACCACCTTTAAAAAAAAATTTTCCCACACTGATTTTAGAGAGAGAGAAAGAGAGAGAGAGATAGTAACATTGATGTGAGAGAGAAACTGCCCCCAACTGGGGATGTGGCCCAAAACCTGGGCATGTGCCCTGACCAGGAATCAAATGGGCAACCTCTTGGTGCATGGGTCAATGCTCAACCACTGAGCAACACCGGCCAGGCTCCACCACCTTTTGACCCAAATATTGTTAAATTTATATGACAACCACAATTAATTTAAATTTTTTTCTTTATTGATTTTAGAGAGAGGGAGGGAGAGAGAGAGAGAAACATTGATGAGAGAAAGCATTGATTGGCCGCCACTGGGGATCAGGCCCACAACCTGGGCATGTGTCCTGACCAGGAATCAAATTGGCCACCTCTTGGTGCATGGGTCCACACTCAACCACTGAGCCACACCAACTGGACTGTTTTAATTTTTAAGAATTTTTATTTATTCATTGATTTTAGAGAGAGAAAAAGAAACAAAGAGAGAGGGGGAGAGAGAGGAAAAAAACACACTGATAAACAGTATTTGTATATACTCATTTATGCATTCATTGGTTGATTCTTGTATGTGCCCTGACCAGAGATCAAACCTTTAACTTTGGTGTATTGGGATGGCACTCAAACCAACTGAGCAACCTGGCCAGGACAACAACCACAATTTTTAAAATGACAAATTAATAGTAAATTTTAATCCATACAAGACTATCTAAACAGGCTTTTGATAAGTGGAAAAACCCATCTAGCTCTCTTAATTAGTGGGAAATTTATTAAAAGAGCACTTGTTTCCAAAAACCCAAGGGAGAAAGCAGACTTAGGAGAGACTGGACAATGTACAATGCTCATTAGGCATCTCCTTCCTTCTTGTCTCTAAGTGGATTTATTTTCTGTGCTTCTTTCCACATATTTAGCCAACATAATATCATTTTCTTAAGTTCCTCACAAAGAGACTATTTTATATCTGGTTTCTAAAACTATTTTTTAAACAGAATCGGATTGACACAGCTTAGATCAGCAATGTCTACCACCTTGTCTAACTGTCTGAAATCACAAAAAAAGATGGGACTTTAAAATAAACATGGCTGCAACAGTAGACATCTACTGAAGAAAGAAGTTTCCAGAAAGAGATGGGGTGGGATCTATTATTTAAATATTTGGGAATAATCTAATTCTCTTTCAATATCGTGATGGAAGATGATTTGACTGGGTGGTAGGCACACAATACAATATACAGATCATGTATTACAGAAATGTACACTTGAAACCCACATAATCTTATTAACCAATGTCACCCCAATACATTTAATTAAAAATAATACATATATACTGAAGGTTGCTATATTGAGGTAAAAATCTCTCAAGTATGGGTGAAATTGTAGTTTTTTCTATGTAATACTACTGTGAAACAAAATCATGCAATTTTTGCAGATATTTCTCAATTTAAAAATTTAAGACAGGCAGTATAATATATTAAACTGAAGATATACTAATAACTCATTAGGTTTGTATCATGCCCATCTCCTAAGAAACCACAACATCAAAAAATTTTTGAATGTTTCTGTACAACATTCAAACAGACAATGGTGCTGGGGTTATCTTCAAATCAATGGTTGATGGTAAAGAGTTCATAAATTAAATATTCATGACTTTTTAGTAATGAAGTACAGTTGCAAGTTATTTGTCATAATCAAAATAGAAATGATAAAAAAGAGTAAACATGAATATACACTTAAATTTTCTAATCTCCTTAACTAGAAAAATGATATCAACAAAATGAATTCAAAGAAATTATGGATCTAAAAAGGTAATGGAGACATAGTACATTTAGAAAGAACTAACCTTCATCTTGAATGCTCTGAAAAATTAAAAAATTCCTAATTGAATCCAAAACCATTTACAGAATTTTAGTTTTCCTCCACACCATTCACAGAACCCAGATGTTTGGAGGCAACAGACTTCAGGAACTTGAACTCGCTGGTGGTCCCTGAGCTTCCGTTCAGACACACTTCATACTGGTAGCTCTGAGACAGGGTCCCCATGCCGCTGACATCCACCAGGTGGCCGGAAAAGTGGCCCTCTGGCACCGAACAGCCACTCACCCAGTTGGCCCTGCTCCGCCTGCACAGCCGCACCGCCACGAACGCCAGCACCGAGAAGAGGAAGAGCGACGACACCGACGCCAACGCGATGACCAGGTAGACGGTGAGCGGGTCGGCCTGGGCCGGGTCGGCCGCCGCTTCGGGCAGCGGCAGGTAGGGCTGCGAGAAGCCGTCCACCAGCAGCACGTGCAGCGTGACGCTGGCCGACAGCGGCGGCTCGCCATTGTCCTTGACCAGCACCACCAGCCTGTGCCTGGCCGCGTCGCGCTCGCTCAGCAGCCGGGCCGTGCGCACCTCGCCGTTGTGCGCCCACACGCCGAACAGCCCGGGCTCCGTGGCCTTGAGCAGCTGGTACGACAGCCAGGCGTTCTGGCCCGAGTCCGCGTCCACCGCCACCACCTTGCTCACCAGGTAGCCCGGCTCGGCCGCCCTGGGCACCAGCTCGGTGCAGGGCGCAGAGCCATTCTGCAGCGGGTACAGCACGAAGGGCGAGTTGTCGTTGGCGTCCAGCACCTGCACGCGCACCAGCGCCTGGCTGCTCAGCGCGGGCGACCCGCGGTCCGTGGCGCCCACGCGGAACTCGAACGCCTGCAGGGCCTCGAAATCCAGCGCCCTCAGGGCGAACAGGTGGCCGTTGTCCGCGTTGATGGACACCAGCGAGGCCAGGGGCAGGTGCGGGTCCTGGGGCGGCAGCAGCGAGTAGGTGACCTGGGCGTTGGCTCCCGCGTCTCTGTCTGTGGCGCTGACGCTGCCTATGTGCAGGGCGGGGCTGTTGTTCTCTTGGATGAACAGGGTGTAGGAGGTTTTTGTGAAGGCGGGGGCGTTGTCGTTGACGTCGGAGACCAGCACGGTTATGTTGTGCTGGGTTTTCAGCCTGGGTGTCCCCAAGTCGGTGACGGTGATGGTGATGATATACTGCTCCTGGTTCTCTCTATCTAGAGGTCCTTCTGTAACCAGCTTGAAGAAATTCTCAACGGAAGGTTTCAGCGTGAAAGGAACATCTTCCTGGATGGAACAAACCACCTTCCCGTTATCTCCAGAGTCTGGGTCTTGAACACTGAAAAGAGCTATGGTAGTTTCTGGGGAATTTTCTGGGATGGAGCTTGTAAGTGAAGCCACTGTCAGTTCCGGCGTGTTATCATTTACATCCACCACCTGTATTATGACAGTACATTTTCCCGAAAGACCTGCCCCATCAGACGCCTTAATATCCACCTCGTATGACACACTTTTTTCAAAATCTAGTTTCTTAATTATCGTAATTTCTCCTGTGAGTTCATTAAGTGCAAATGTCCTAGTGATCTCTTCGTCACCATAAAAAAATGAGTAGAACACTTGCCCGTTTATTCCCATGTCCAAATCTCTAGCTGAAACAGTGACAACAAGGGATCCCAGAGAACTGTCTTCCAGGATCTGTGCACGATACAGTGGCTGCACAAACTCAGGGGCATTGTCATTGATATCCAAAACATCAATGAG